ACAATAGACTTTCAAATATTTGTTGACTAAGTGAGCTTTGAAAATAGCACTTTCTTTTTTCTTGATGGTAAGTTGCAATTATGAGTTTTATGTATAATTTTGGGAAAACTTCATTTCATAATCATGTATGTTTTCATGCTAAAAGGCTCCTGGTAGTATTTGTCTGTGTGTTCTAATTTGGGGAGAAATCCAAGAAGTCTAAGTAAGTAATAAAACTTGAGGAATTGTACCATTAATTATGCCTTTATACGAATAGATAGGTCCCTGATTTTTGATTGCTCAAGTTAAAGTGTTTATTTTAGATATGTTAAGGTATAAAATCAAGAGAAAAAATATTAGGCTATCGTCATGTGAGATTTTTTTTCTTTTACAAAAGCTCCCTTAGTCTCCTTTGAGGATTTTCTCCCCTCCCCACCATCCCTTCTGTCCCTTTGTCCCTATCACACTCCCTACTCCTCTGAGCCCTCAGAATGCCTGTTGATGTCCGGTAGTTTTTGAAAATGTTTTGTGTTATCATTACTATGTTAAATGAACATCCACTATTTGTTTTTATAGTGCTGACTTGTTTTGCTGCTTGTAATTTTTTCAAATTTCTTTCATTTTGTTGAAAATGGCTGCATTTCATCCTTTCCTGTGGCTGTGTAGTATTCCATTGCATGTATGCATCACTTCTTTTTAATCCATTCATCCACTGAAGACAATTTAGGTTTCTTCCATGTCCTAGCTATTGTAAATAATGCTGCTGTAATATTGTAGAGCATATGGGTATTTTTGTTGATGGTTCATACTCTGTGGCTATATGCCCAAAAGTAGGATTGTGGGGTTGTACGATACTTGTTTTTAATTTTTATTTATTTGTTTGTTTGTTTGTTTATTTATTTATTTATACAAGCACTGGGTACAGTCAGAAGCACAGGAGGGTGAGAGAATCCACCAGAGCCAGAGCGGGGAGCAGAGCAGGCAGAAGGACCGAAGTACACTGCTGAGGGGAGCAGCGGGCGGCAGGAGAGGTCTGCGTGCCACGCGGGACCCTCCTCCAGTGGCCGGGGAGCAGCCGGGGATCGAACCGGTGCCGCAGAGGCTGCGGGCAGCTTTGCCACCCAGCACTTAACCGCTGCGCCACTGGGGAGGCCCTGTTTTTAATTTTTTTAGGTAAACCCAGATTGCTTTCCCTGATGGTTTCACCAATTCACATTCCCACCAGCATTGCAATAGGGTCCCTTTTCCTCTGCGCTCTCTCCAATGCTTGTTGTTGGGGGTCTTTTTGAAATGTGTCATTCTCACAGGTGTGAGCTGGTATCTAATGGTGGTTTTAATCTGCCCTCTCATTAGGAGTGACGATGAACAATTTTTCATGTATTTTGGCCTTCTGAATCCTCTTTAGAGAATTGTCCATTGCCTGCTGTCCATTTGTTAGTTGGGCTATTTGTCTTTCTTTAATTGTTGAATTGTATGAGTTTTTTTTAATATATTGTTTATTAATTCCTTATCAGTTATATTGTAACTATTTTTTCCCGTTCACTAAGGTGTATATTTAATCATGCGGACTGTTTTGTTTGCTGTATTGAAGCTTTTTAACTTGAGGTTAACTTGTGTTAAATTCATATATCACTTTAGGCAAAATGGTCATTTTGAGTATATTGATTTTTTTATAGAGGCATGTTTTTTATTTGTTTGTTTGTTTGTTTGTTTGTTTGTTTATACGTGCACTGGGTACAGTCAGAAGTGCGGGAGGGTGAGAGAATTCACCAGAGCCAGAGGGGAGCAGAGCAGGCAGAAGGACCGAAGTACACTGCTGAGGGGAGCAGCGGGCGGCAGGAGAGGTCTGCGCGCCATGTGGGGCCCTCCTCCGGTGGCCGGGGAGCAGCCGGGGATCAAACCGGCACCACAGAGGCCGTGGGCAGCTTCGCAACCCAGCGCTCAACCACTGCGCCACCGGGGAGGCCCCTCTAATCATTTTTATAGTCTAGAATATGCTATTTATATCATATAGTCTGCAAATAGTGGTAATTTTGCTTCCTTATTTCCTAATTGGATTCCCTTTATTCCCTGTGTTTATCTGAGAGCTTTGGCCAGAATCTTTAATACTAAGTTAAATGACAGTGAACTTTTTTGTCTTGTGCCAAATCTAATGAGGAAAACTTTCAATGTTGAGTATTATATTGACTATTGGTTTATGGTATGTGCTTTTTATTATATTGAGGTAGATTCCTTCTATTCCTGTCTTATTTAGAGGTTTTATTGTAAATGGGTGTTGAATTTTATTGAATGCTTTCTCTGCATCTTAATGTTCTCTTATGATTTTTACCTTTTGTTGAAAGGGTATATTATAATTGATTTGTGTATATTAAACAATCTTTGCATCCCTGTAAATCCCATTTGATCATAGTGTATAATCCTTGTGAAATACTATTGAATTTGATTTGCTGGTATTTTGTTGAAAAACTTACATGGATGTGTTCATCAAAGATATTGGTCTATAATTTTTTTCTTGTGCAGTCTTTGTTCTGGTTTCAGTATTAAGGTAACATTGGCATTATAAAATGTGTTAGGGAGGACTCCTCTATTTTTAAAACCAGTATGAGCAAGGTGGGCATTAATTAGTTCTTTAGAAATTTGATAAAATTTATTTGTACAGCCATCTGGTCCTGGGCTTTTGTTTTTTAAAACATTTTTCTATTGCTGTTTCAATTTCCATGTTTGTGATTGGTTTGTTCAGTTTGCCTTTTTCTTTCTTAGTTAGTCTTGGTAGATAATTTTGATCTAAAAATTCACATTTCTTCAAGGTTATGAAATTTATTGGCATGTGGTCGCTCATAGAAATCTCAGAAATCTTTTGTAAACCTTTGCCATAATCTCCTCTTTCATTTGTGATTCTGTTTATTAATATTTTTCTCTACTTTTTTGTTAGCCTAGCTAGAGGATTATCTATTTTGTTTATATTCTCAGAGAACCAGCTTTTTGGTTTTATTGACTTTTTTTTTTTTTTTTTTTTTTTTAGTTTTCTTTGTTTGTTTATACATGCACTGGGTACAGTCAGAAGCACGGGAGGGTGAGAGAATTCACCAGAGCCAGAGCGGGGAGCAGAGCAGGCAGAAGGACCGAAGTACACTGCTGAGGGGAGCAGCGGGCGGCAGGAGAGGTCTGCGCGCCATGTGGGATCCTCCTCGGGTGGCCGGGGAGCAGCCAGGGATCGAACCGGCGCTGCAGAGGCCACGGGCAGCTTCGCAACCCAGTGCTCAACCGCTGCGCCACCGGGGAGGCCCGTTTTATTGACTTTTTAAAATAGTCTTCGATTTCTGCTTCATTTATTTCCATTCTTATTTTTATTTCCTTCTACTAACTTTAGGTCATATTTGTTCCTCTTTTTCAAGTTGCTTTAGGTGTGATACTAGGTATTTTATTTGGGGTTTTTCTTTTTAATATGGGTTTGCATTGTTATTGTCTTCACCCTTAAGATTCTCTGACTGAAAAGAGTGTTCCCACTTACATTTAGATTTGGCAAATTCATAGACAAAGTAGACTGGAGGTTAACAGGTAGAGGGATTATGGGATTTTATTGTTTAATAGATATGAAATTTTTGTTTAAGATGATTAAAAAGCCTTAGAAACAGATAGCAGGAATGCTTGTACAACATGAATGTAACCGCAGAAAGAAATGTGCCCCCAAAGCGTCTCTGTCATAGGAAGTGGTGGACTGGATTTGGCTCATGTGACCTTTCTAGAGCCAATTATGAGTGCCTGTTCCCAGCTACTCATCCACTGATGTTGGTAGCTTGAAATTGGCCATGGTGGATGGGCCTCCCCTGGTGGCGCAGCGGTTGAGCTCTGGGCTGCAAGGCTGCCCGCAGCCTCTGCAGCGCCGGTTTGTTCCCCGGCTGCCGGTGAGGGTCCCACAAAAAAAAAAAAAAAAAAAAAGAATTGGCCATGGTAGGTATATTTACATATGGGACTTGACAGAGGTTACAAATAGGGCTTTACCTCCATCCCCTGGAGATAGTAGTCTATATTTACCAGCATACCACTGAATATATATGTATTAAAATGCATAGAAAGCTATTTTGAAGGAGATCCAAGCTGTTTCTACCTCTGGGGAGGAGAGTAGTGTTGTGTCAGGTTGTGAAAGTAAACTTACACTTTTTAGTATATATTTACTTCATATTGTTCCATTTTTTTTTTCAGTGAGCATATAGACATTTCTTTTTTTTTTAAAGATTTATTTATGCATGCAAGAACTGGGGTACAGGCCAGAGGTGTGGGGGATGAGAGGATTCACCAGAGACAGAGTAGGGAACAAAACAGGCAGACTGACTGAAATACACTGCTGAGGGGAGCAGCGGGCGAGACAGGAGATGTCTGCTGCGCTATTTGGATAAGCTCCCTGGCCGGGGATCAAACTCATGCTGCAGTGGCTGCGGATAGCTTCACAGGTTGCATCTTAACCCCCTGCTACACCAGGGAGGCCCCATATAGACATTTCTTGTACTGCTTTCTGAAAATTGAAAAATCTGTATGTGTTGAGATTATGGTATTGGTGGCTTTTCTTGAAAGGCTAAAAAGCTGGTTATAGGCCTCCCTGGTAGTACAGAGATTAAAGTCTCAGTGCTGTCAGGCTATCCCCAGCCACTGCGGCATGAGTTTGATCTCCAGCCAGGGAGCTAACCCACAAGGTGTAGCATACCTCTTCTGTCTCACCTGCTGCTCCCCTCAGCAGTGTATTTCAGTAGATTCACCTGTTCTGCTCCCCACTCTGTCTTTGGTGAATTCTCTCACCCCCATCCCCACCCCCGCACCTCTGGCCTACACCCCAGTTCTTGTATGCATAAATAAATAAAAATAAATCTTTAAAAAATAAATAAAAATTTGAAAGTTGGTTACATATACTCTCTAAAATGGCCTAGGAAGAGATTGAAGACCAAGCCTGGGACTTTGATTCTTTTTCCTCAGAACCTGCTTTCTTTTGCTCACTTAAATGGGACTTTTTTTTTGTTTCTTCATAGGTTATCCCACAGCCTACCCGGCAGCAGCCCCTGCCTACAATCCCAGCCTGTACCCCACCAACAGCCCCAGTTATGCTCCAGGTAAGGCGGAAATAGAGACAGCAGCGGTGGGTGGGGTGGGAAGTGGGACAGTATTTGGAAAAGACTAACCTACATGCGGACTTTGCCCAGTTCTTAATTGCTCTGGGCTCATCCTGTCCAGGCCTGATTATCCTGGAAGTTCCCTCTGGGAATGGAGGCAGTTCAGCCTCAGGGTGGGGGTCGGAGTAGAATCTCCTCCCTGTTCTCCTTGGGACTTAGTTGACCTATCTTTCCTTTTCTGAAATGTCTGAGACATGCATCCTCCTCACAGAACCTTTTGCCCTCCCAAACAATGTCCAAATCCATTCTTTGCTCAGTTTCCCTCGAGTCTATTGGAGTCTCTCTCTCTCTCTCTCTCTCTCTCTCTCCCCCTCCCCCTCCCTCTCTCTCTCTCTCTCTCTCTCTCTCTCTCTCTCACACACACACACACACAAACACACACACTTCCCGGATGTGGATTTGGAAGAGAGTGAGGACTTGCCACCAGAGGATAAAGAACTGTTTTCAAGTTGAGGCAAAGAACTCGTTTTTCAAATGTAATATAGACCTAATATTCCTTGGAAGAGGTTGACATAGGTGTGAAAATGTTGAAAAAGTTTGTTCTAGTTTAGACTAGGAGCAGTACAGAGGTCTTATCACTGATCTTAACCCCATCCTTTGCTGGTGCTTTTACATTCAAGGGATGGGAGAAAGTCCTGGGTTTGAATCCTGATGACACGACTCACTATTTACAACATCTTGCACAAGTTACCTCATCTCTCTAAGAAATACACTGTCTACCTCAGGGTTGTAAATGATTTTATGTAGGTTCCTCTTCATTCATCAAGTATTTTTGTGAATGTTTTCCGCACTAGAATAAAAAAAGAATATCTTTATCTGAAGTAGCTTACAACTCATTCGGGCTGGCATATAAGCAAATTAATTGTGGTATAGTGTGATAAAGTATTGTAAAGGAATACATCTAAGAGGAGAGAAAGTGGGAAAGGAATCAACAGTCTGTCTGAGGTCGAAAGTGTAGGGTGCACCTCACAGAGAGCCTAGCGATAAACACGGAAGAAGTAGGAGTCACAAAGGAAGAGCTGGGCATTCTAGACAGAGTAGAGCCTGGGCAAAGACATGGAGATGTGAGGACTTGACACTGCGAGGAACCTAGAAATAGTAGTGATGGTTAAAGCATAAACTAGTGGACAGGGAATGCTGTAAATGAATCTGAACTACACATGTGCAAGGGTACAGATTTGGAAATGTACAGATTTGGAAAGGCCTTGAATGCCATGATGGTAGCCCAATTTTTGTACTTACTAATTATTATTCTAGAGTTAGAGAGCTTGTAAAAACCTCAGAGATCCTCCAGTTCAATACCTTTTCTTGATAAGGGAGATCCAGAGAGTAGCAATGTGTTGTCTAAGTTACCCATTGAACCCATAACAGCATATGGACTAGAACCCTTGGTAGATCTCCTAGCTCTTGGTCTCAGGCTTTTCTGTGCCAATTTAGTATTCATTCTATGCCATTCCCTTTCTTCTGATGTTTAAAGAAGAGAAAAGCATGGATTATGTCAGAAGACCTGTGTTTGAGTCCTGACTCACTTTCTAGGTTACACCCTTAAAATCACTTCATGTCTCTGAATCTCATGTTCATCTCTAAAGCAGAAATTAGAGCATAAGCGCACACACACACACACACACACACAACCCCATGACATCAGACAGCCCCCTGTCTTTGCAAATAAGAACTATTTTGTGGAAATAGGTGTGTTAACCCTTAAAGTGCTCGCACAGCTGTGTCACTTCAGACATTCATTTGTCTATGCTATGCCCAAAGCACTCTGGGATACACTCTAGGTAATTCAAATGAGGTAGCTATAGTTACTACCCGGAAAAAACGTGAGTGGGCAGTGACACACAGGCTAAAAAACCTGTAATAGTATCTCTGTGTTGACGTTCTATTCTATATTCACCTTCAGTCAGTAAGATGTATATTTGAAAAAAAAAAAAAAACACCTTTAATTAAGAAGCAGAAACAATAAAAAATACAGAAATTCTTTCTGATAAAAAGGCTTAATCAAATTTGATAAGCTGTCTTGAAAACTACAGTGGTTTTGATTATTAAGTATCTCATGATAGAAATTACGTAAATCTAAAATGCTGTGATATCTATAAATTGGCTTGGTCAAGTACCCAGTCTAACAAAATGAGGTGAGTTGTTACAGAAGGTCAGGTAGGATCAGGAGTGAGAAGAGGTGTTGTCTTTATAACCAGGAGGTCTTCAGTGACCTCCATGGAAACTCACTCAGGAGGTGGAGGGATTGGGAGTAAAGAACCATATTTAGCAGATAGAACCTGCTCTTAAAAGAAGCCTGGCTACCAGGAAAGGAGAACAGGAGAGTGCTGACTAGAAGGGAAGTTGGGATTAAAAGAGGGTTTGTTGGTGTTGCTGTTGTTGTTTCTGGAAATGAGCCGTGTGAGGTGGAGCAAGTGGAAAAGACAAAACAGGAGAAGAGGTCCCAGATGACCCCCGAGGATGCTGTGTTGGGATAAGAAATCCAGAGCATGGTTGACTGCTCCGTGGGGAAGCAAGGGGAGTGGGGTGCCTCACGCATGTGCCTCACGCAGCTCTTCCTTGCAGACTAAAGGATGTACTTAGAATAAATTGCCTGGTGGAGAGTGCTTGTCTACTGATTTTGATTTGCTGAAACAGAGATGAGCTCCAATAAAGGGAGGGGTCTTCAGGAGCACAGGCAAGGTGTGAAGCCCTCACTAGAAGAAGCAGGAGAGGAAACTACCAGCAGATAAGACAGCTGTGTAACACTGGCGGTCCAGCTGATGCTGGAGGTTGGGAATCTGTCAAGGCTCTAATTCCCAGCCCCGGGGTATTTTCTTGTAATGTTCAAAACTTCTAGTGATAAGATTGTGGAATTGTTTTCGCATTAGTTTGGTAAGAAAGTGGAAGGATAGGGAATAAATAGTTAATATTTGTTGAATGGTTTCTATGTGGCAGAAATTATTTTAAACTCTATGGATTTTAACTTGTTTTATATCACAGTAAGCCTTTGAAGTCAGTGTTGTTATTCCCATTTTATGACTGGAAAATTAAAACTTAGATAAGTTAAGAAACTAGCCCAAACATCCAAATGCAGGCATCCTGCCACAACACCCATATCCGCTACATTAAAGTTGCAGTTGGCCAGAAGAAATTAAGGTGTTAGATTAGAGCAACCATACTAGAGAGGGAAGGTAGAGCAGACAAGAGGAACCTGAGACTGAGAAAAAAACAGACACTGGAAAGCTCCTGGAATGTATAAAGTTCTGATTAAGTTTTAATTTAAAAACAAAATATCAAGCTTCGTCTAAGTTGATTTTTCTCCAATTATATTCTTGAAAAGTCGTATTTCTAAGTTACGTCTAAACCAACCCAGGCCATTTTCTCAAAAACCCATAGAATCTACTGGAGAGGATAGTAGTGGTCATTGTGTCAGAAAACCCCAAACTGGACGGCTGTGGTGGAGACACTGACTCTTCCACTGATTGTGGTGTGACCGTGGGCAGACCCCCTGGCCTTTGGAGCACCCACACAGCAAACACGTGCATGAGTGCGCTCTCTCTCAGCTGGTATGTCTCACACGATAGGAGAATGGCCTCTGCATTCACCAGGTCTCCTGACTGCAGCAGGAATCCTGCTATGGAGGAGCTGGCTCTAGGACAGAGGGCACTGTAGGTTATTCTCCTGCCAGAACCAACTGTTTGTGATGCCGGGTGATAACTGCAGGGTAGATGCCTTCAAAAGAGCCAGGCTCTCAGGTTTAAATTTATCTCAGCTTCTTCAAGGAGACCAAGAAGTTGCTTCAGGGAGTTATTTTTAGCAGCTCTGTGTATCCTAAGATGTCATCTGTCTGGGATACAGGAAAACATTTTACCCTTTCCTTGGTTCTGAAAGTAATGTGGGTACTTGGAGCTTTATCCAAGCTCTCAATAATTTCACAGATCTTATTTAAGAACTCTTAGGCTCCATAGAAGGCTGGGAGCCAAATGAGACTTGATTTCAGAATCTGGGGACCAAAAATTTAATACCATGTTGGCATTAAAATGCCATATTAACGATAATCTGACTTGGAAATGAAGGGATTTGAAAATGACAAATATTAAATGCCTTCTCACAAGAAATCTGTTTACACATAATTTTCATCTGTTGTCTCACTTGATTTCACAGCAGCCTTGTGTAGTACAAATATATTACTTCCATTTTGCATATGACAAACTGCTTGGAGAAAGGCAGGGGGAAGGAAGTTGTATTTCCTTAATGCCTTCCATGTTCCAGGCACTATTGCAAGGCATATCACAACATTTTTACCTTAGTCTTGTGTGTTGGAGCTTTTTTAGCCTCTAGTTTTCTCAGAGAGATTAAGTAACTTATCCAAAGTTGCATAGTTAAAAAGCAGTGACACTGGGATTCTAACCCAGTCTGTCTGGCCCACAGCCTGTGTTTCTACGGCACTGCACTCTCCTAGAAGTTTCAGGGAATGAAATACCTCTGCATTGATCCTAGCTCTCTGGGACACCACAGAAAGTCTTCAGAGGCCAAACACGATGATTTAGTCCCTCAACCTTCACTTCCTTTAGCAATTAAAGCCTGTCATGGGTGAAGTCCCTCTTTAGTACTTGGGAGAATTGAAATTCTTATGGACAAGCAAAGAGTAGGAGCTCAGGCTTGTTCACATCCAGGCAGCTCTGGAATTGCCTGGAAGATGCCGTGACTTCCGAGGAGGTGCCCTTCCTCAATGAATGGGATTTCCTGGATGGCAAGTCTGTCACACCCCTCCAGACTAGTGACACTTCGCACCCTCTACAGTCATTGTTTCTTGTGTAACCTGGGGGAAACTGCTATCGAGACAAAGTCTGTTTTTGTAACTGCAATGTATACTACTTTGCACAAATTCTTAGTGGTAATTTCAACTAACATTTCTATCCAACAGAGTTTCAGTTCCTGCATTCAGCTTATGGTAGGAGAGCTATTTTTCCTCATCTGTATTATGGCCTATGAATGTGTTATCTCGTAACAACGGTAGATTCCTCTCTTCCTTCCTTCCCAAATCCCATCCCCTAGGCTTGGGCTCCCCCCAGGTGGCTCAGCAGCAGTTCCTAAAGCATGCAGGAACATGTCTGATGGTGCAAAATCATGGGTTGGAGACACACATGAACCGTCCCCTAGGGCAGCAGTGAAGGATCATGGCACTAAAAGGCGTCTGTCCTCTTTCTCACCTCTGGGGTCCCTGTCTGACCTAGGTCAGAAACTTCTACCCTTACCTGGTTGCTGAATTCAAACATGTGAACAAAAATTTCTGGTCCTGTGTGTGGCTCCTCTGATGGCATCGTGGCAGCCCTTGTGGAGGAGTACCCGAATTGTTCTTGTAAGAACCGGGAAAGGGGAAAAAAAAAAAAACAAAAACCAAAAAACACAACTGTCTGCCCCAGGATCAGATTTTCCATCTCCATCGGCAGTCTGACATGTTTGAAGACCTGGCTGACTTAGTTAGTCTGTTCCCCTTAGCCCAGATCTTGAACTCTGGCCCATTTTCAGGGCATTTTCCTGAATGGTGAGAGGTAGGGGCCACATGTGTTAATGAGCAAGGGACCAGAACTGGGTTCTCTGGGCAGTGTGGACTCCAGGCCCAAGGCACCACAGGAACCTGTAGGCACCTGTGAGGGTCCCAGCAGTGTAACTTGACTAGGTCCTTTTTGTCATAGACAGGAAGGGACCATGGGAAGGATTTGCCACTTACACCACCTTTACCTGGGCTGCACAGGACAGTGTTTTCTTAAATCTTTGCACACTTTCTCAGCTTCAAACCTTGAATTGTATGGGTACTGAAAACTGAATTTGTGTGTGGCACATCTTTCAGGAGATGAGCTGTGAAAATTTCTCCTTGCCACTGCTATGGGCTGTGTGATCTTGGGCAATTTGCTTATGTTTCCAGGTGATTAAGTATTTCATTCTAGATGATCTCAGAGGTCCCTTTAAATTCCCCAGCCTGTCCTCTTACAATTTCATTATTTTAATTTTGTTAGTCACAGACCTGTTTCTCTTATCATTATTACAGGGTAGTATTTTGTTTGCCTTAGGATATATGAACTTGAACAGAAAACTCCTTAAAAAGTGAGAGATGCTCTCATGCTTCCTCATGCCTCCAATCACAGTATCTGAAATGGAAATACTGAAATGTATATTTGAAACTCTTTTCTTCACGAAATGTTCTGTGCCAGGCCTAAGCTAGCCTTCTGAAGCTACAATGACCAGTAAGAACGAGTCCCCGCTCACAATTCAGGGGGGAAGATAGATGACTCAGCAAATAAAGGGGCTTCTGAGAGTCACAGGGACTGGGATAGTGAGCCATGTGGGATACACCGGAGGTCTGCAGTGAAAGAGACTTCTAGTAGAGACAGACCTTCAGCTCATGACTGAGGTATCAATAAATGTCTTCCAGGTGGCATTTGGAGAATGACATGCCAGGAAGAATGAGCAAGAATACAGAGATAGGATGCTTCCTGGGAATGATGAACAGTTTGTGTGGCTGTGCTGGATCTAGGGTTGGAGAGTGAGAAGAGTGAGAGAGTGTAGAGACCATAGGAGTAGAGCTTAAGGAGCCTGAAATGCCACACAAGGAATTCAGCCGTTAGCTAAACTTAGGCAGTGGAGAACCATGGAATGTTTTTAAGGAAGACAGCTTTGTGGCTATGTCTTAGAAATTACCGCTCTGATTGCAGCTTACAGACTGGAATTGGCAGATTTAAAAACAGAGTAGTGAGGAAGTGCAATAATTTAGGGGAGACTTGGTGAGATCTTACCTTAGAGCTGTCCACACTGTGGGAATAGAAGAGTGGACAGATACCAGGGCTAGAAACTAAAACTGGGTGACACTTTATTTTGATCTTCATATCAGTACTGTGAAATGATCAGGGCATGATGACTATACTGCCATTTTCTGAGACAACAAAACTGAAACTTTGAAAGGTTCAGTGACTTGCCCAAGGTCTCACAGCTGCTAAGTGGCAGAGCCCAGGCTAGAACTCAGATTTCCTGACTTAATGTATTGTTCAGGATGATGGTCCCTTGCTGCCTCTCCTCCTTGTGTGCTTAACAGACTGTTCAGGTGTCGGAGGGCATGAGGGCCCTGTATCCAGTATCCAGGGAAGTGAACAACCCAGCACCTGGATGTGGGCAGCATGCTGTGACTGGGCCATGGCCCTTCACTGCCAGGGGTTCTCATTCTCTCTTCCTCTCTCTATCCTTTTAAAATTAAGGAATAACACATCTAGTACCTAGAGTGGTAGTACATAAACTAGCACTAGTACATAGACTAGTATACTAGTTTCAAATGTACAACTTAAAAATATTTGACACACGAGTATACTTGTATTTAACTATCAGCCAGTTCAAACCAGAAAACATTTCTAGGAGTTGGTACCTTTCATGGTACCCAAGAGCAGACATGCCTGTCAGAGCAGCCTCCTGTATCACCAGGCTTCCAAAAGCTTCAGTTGGGTTGTCTTCACCCTATGACTGAGCTGTGCATGATTACCATCTTTTAGAGTTGTACCTGGAAGAGGAAGATTCATATAGCACCCAACAAGAAAGTCAAGTTGACTGCTAGTATTTCTTGGTTTTGTTTTTCCTACTCATATTTATCCAGATATTTAAATTAATAAATATGCAAATATACAGAGAATATAGAAATTACTAACATTTGCTTTCTTATAATGAAACCAGAGGAAGTACCCATTTCTTCAGGAACACGTAGTTTAGTTCATCTTGTCAGTTGGGAAAGACATAATAAAAGGCACAGTCGCACTTGCTTCTTTCCTGCTGACTCTGGAATGTTACTTTCCTGTATGTTATGCTGTCTTGTTCACTCTCTGGTTGGCGTGTGGCTGTATTGCATCCCCAGCTAGACCATGAGTACCTTGTGTGCAGTGACCATGACCCACGTGTGTTCTGTCCACCGTACACTCCCCTCAACACTGAGCACAGTGTAGGCCTCAGTCACTTCTTGATTAATTTTGATTTACTTCAGTTGTCACACAGTCCTTCAGGCTAATGTCAGACTTTTGGCTTATAATTATGGTAAAGTATATATCACTTGAGGAGAAAAACTAGACCAGAACAGAACCTCCAAATTCTCCAGATTCTCAGCAGCCAAATTTAGGCCTCCTGCTCCCTGGTGGAGTTCCTGTGGGGTCTTGAGGGCATGGGCTTGCTCTGCCTGACTTCTCAGAGCTGTTTGTTTCACTTTTGAGGGAGTGATTTTGAGTGGTCAGGGTTTTCCAGCCACATGGAGTGGCAGGTTCTAAATGTGGAGATATTTTGATAAGATTTTTCAACACTAATTGGATCCTTTGTTAATCCCCACTACCCACAGGGAAAAAATCCAAGATAATTGTTTAAAACTGACCCCCCCCCCCCCGCCACCTCCTGCATTGTCTGCAGAGCCATGTCTTGATGTCTAGCAAAAGCCTTGGACTCTGCATGGTATTCTGCTGGGTTTCCATTTCTTCTGCCAGAATTCTCCTTTTAGTGTCACTTTCCTGCCCATGATTTCCTTCTCATTTCTCAGCATCTGCTGTATATATTGCGGGCCATTAATGCAAGTGCAGGGTCAGCCCAGAACAGCTATACATCTAGCCTTGGTTCAGCCAAAACAGCACAGTCCTTGACCTCCTTCTCTGACCCCAGTACTTCTAAGGCTGAAGGGACCAGAGGCATTCCTGTAGCCTGGATGGGCAGAGGGGTGATGGGAGCTCTCTAAAAGAGGACTGTCCTCATCCTGGTGGAATTAGAGCACATAGGCATACTTTCCTCTCATACCTGTAGCCCCTTGTTAAAATATTTCAAACATATCTGACTATTGCCAGTGCAGCCCCACCTGCTGCTAATATACTTTAAAACAATATCCACTACTCCCAAGACTTTGAGTGGAAAAACACTGTTAAAATCATTCTTTTTTTCTCAAAGTAGAAATTTGGGTCAAGAATGTTTCTCCTCTAGTGTTTGTAAGTATGTCAAGGGAAATATCTAAAAAGTTAGGCATTTCCCCACGTTGAAACCCTATTTCCTCTCTCCTTCCCCACAGGATACCATGAAGGTAAGTTTTTTTTTTTGTTTTTTGTTTTTGTTTTTTTAGTCGCTCCCTACTTCTAGAACATATAAAGCATCATCCTTCAAATTACTCGAGTTGAGCTTTGAGTCAGCCTGGGAAGTCGCTGCATATTCTAAGCTGGCCTCTTCTCTGTCCCCCAACTTTGATATTTACTTTTTTAATGACCCAAAGATCATCTCTAGTTCATGAGGCAGTCTCTCAGGTGGGACACCAAGAGCACCTCAGCCAGAGGTATAAAGGGTGTGTAAGAGCTTTGTCTGTCTGTCCCTGGCTGGGTGTACCAGAGGAGTTAGAAGGGAATGCCTCACTGGACAACATGTGCCCTTCAGGCAACCAAAGCTCAGACACTCCCTTTGGAAGAGATGCCTGTCCAGCAAGGTTCATGCCATGTGGCAATTATTTTGGGGTCTCTATTTGAAAGCAACTCATTAAATACACCTCCAGATGAGATTACTGACACAAAGAAAGAATACTCAGTTGATCTGACGCACTCACAGTTGGGCTCCCAGCTGCTGCATATTAATGAGAAAGTGACTAAGGAATATCCTAGACCTTAGGCAAGAATGTCAGGCAGTAGGCAGCGGCATTCATAGGCATCTTCATGGTTCTAGTAGCAGGTAGAAAATTCTGATTTTCTGTGTATAAGCTCAGGCTCCCCTGGTTTCAAATCATTTGGCAGCTCATTTCAGTGCTCCTCTCCCCAACTCCCCATCTCAGAGAGGCTAAACCATCCTGTTTGTCTGAACAGGGCCCCTTGGGTTATATGTTTCTGTCTAGCTCAAGACCCTTGCTTTGTGTCTGTGATTGGTGGTGCCCACTTCTTATTTCTGCCTAATGCCATTCTTGTGTCTCTCCTTAAGCAACTCTGCTGATGAAACAGGCCTGGCCACAGAACTCGTCTTCCTGTGGCACTGAAGGCACCTTCCACCTCCCAGTGGACACCGGGACCGAGAACCGAACTTACCAAGCATCCTCTGCAGCTTTCAGTAAATACAGCCTGTCTCCTCCTCCCTTCCTGTTCCCCTTGGCTGGGACTGATTTGTCTCTTAGGAAAAAAGGAAAGGGGATTCTCCTGCCCATGCAAAAAATTCTCCCTCCTTCTACAGGAAAGGTCCTCCTCTTGATCATTCAGCTTTGGACAGACACAAAGCATTGAAGGAGGGGGAATGGAGTACTCACCTGGTTAACAAGTTAGAGTAAAGAAGGACTGTTAATTGCATTTTAAGAGAAAGGACAGAGGGTACATTTAAAGGCCGTCAAGAGAGGTTTCCTTCACCTAGCACGAGGGTTCTTAACCTCCGCCGTATTGTAGACATCTGGACCAGATAATTCTTGGTTGGAGTGGGGGGCTGCCCTGTGCATTGCAGCATGCATGGCCTCAACCCACCAGATGCCAGTAGCACACCCTCATTATCACAGCCAAAAACGTCTCTAAAGCATTGTTAAATATCTCTCCCCCCAGAAGTTTTAAAATTGTTAAAACTCCCCCCTCCCCTGAGTGGCCCCCTGCACGAGAAATACTGCCCTGGTGGAAGCTACACTATGTGAGCAAGGTATGTCCATGGGGTCCTCAGGCAGGACAGAAACCATCTGGCCATGCAGATTGGTCACCTCATCTTGAGGCTCAGTGGGTGACCAATGGTTTCACCTTCACATCTGATTTTTCACACAAAATGGCTCCACTGGATAAAATGAGGACCAATATTTAGAAATTATTGAGTGGCATTTTGACTCCTTCTAAGGAAGAATCTTGTGCCTTGTTAGAGCTGTCCAGAAGAGGAATGACTGATGCTGAATGTGGTGAGCACTGTCTAAGTTGCGGCAGCAGGGGCCGGACCAGCCCCAGGAGGGCTATTGCAAACTGAACCTGATAGTCTGTGGTTCAGTGAATTATTTATTGATTGATTGAGTGGAAGACTAGATTGTATTTTTTTTTTTCTTTGAAATCCTCGATGTTATTCTCTCCCTAGTTACCATGGCCTCTAGATGTCAACACCAACTTGGGGACTGTGCTTTCATATTCACCCTCTCATTTAATCTGTAGTGTAGGTCTATTATTTGAGTGGATTTTTTTAATTAATTGGTTTTCTCACATCATTGTTTTTGTACACTATTTGATTTCTCCCTCAGTTGTAGTCCCCTCAGTTCTCCCACCACCACAGTCCCTTGTGCTCTTCCCTCCCCTGATCTGACCCCTCCCCTTCCCCTGCTGTCTGCCTCGGATCTATGGTCAGCTTGCAAGTTTTGTCTTTTTCCTGACCCTTTGTTCAGTTTCCCTATATTCTACCCATAAGTGAAACCATCCAATATTTTCCTTCCACTGCTTTCCTTTTTTCCTTATTTCACTTGGCATAATCCTTTCCAGCTGTTTGTGTGTATTTTTATTGCAGTTTGAAGACTGAGACTCAGACAGGCAGTATGCCCAATGCCACCCAACTAGTAGGCAGCACAATTAGAAAAAATTATCACCCAGGATAAGTTTCTATTACTGACTTTTCATGAGATTAATTTTACTTTTTAAGAGAGGGATAGCAGCAGTAGTATCTCAGGTGGCGCTGGATGAACATGTATGACATATGTAAATGGATCTATACATGCATATTCTCTTATCTATACATATGGATGCAGCTGCATGTAGCCTCACCTACCGTAGTGTAATAGAAAGAGGACTGGAGTGAAGACCGAAGGAATTGGATTCTAGACTTGGTTCTGTATAACCTTGGATGATTCATGTCCAAGCTTTGGACCTCGTTTTTTGTTTTTTGTTTTTTGTTTTTTTTTAACTATAAAGTGAGAGGGCATAAATAAATCTTTAAAAAAAAAAAGTGAGGGGGCTGGATTAGGTCATCTTTAAGGTTCTCTGTAGCGATTAGACTTTTGATTCTGTCACCTTGGTCCTATGCATTTAATCACCTGCACCCCAAGAGTGACCTTCTCTCTACCTGCCCCAACCAATAGTTGGCCAACTGGCCTTTGTTCACATATCCCCAGGTATTGGGTACTCATTCCCTCCAGAGGCAATGTTTCCATGGAGAGAAAGTCTAGGTATTAGAAGGTCTTGCCTTGTATTGTATTGAATTCTTCCTTAAATCCCATTGAAATGTCCAGTAATTAACATTCCACCATCCTCACAGGCCAGCACAGTCCTTGGAAAGGCTCAAAATGTACCTCTTCTAAGCAAGTCATGTATATAATCTGTGTATCTTTTAAAATAGAGGTGGGATTGACCAGTCCTCCTGTAAGGGTTCGGCCCAGCACACACTTTGTCACTTCTAATACCACAGAAAATTCAGGGCACTTTCACAAATTCAGTTCAGTTTCACCAACGCTTGGTAACGTTTGTAATTAGGTATCCCTGTTATTTATTCAGCACTCTCTTCTGCTACAAGGACACTTGGGGGTCAAGGCAAGAATGAAACATAGAGCCTCATCCAGACATATAAATCTGATGGTCAATAAACCGATTAGTCTAAAAGGCATCCTTGATGTGAGGATCAATGCCTTTGAAGGTGGCAGGGGCTCTACAACAGAAGAAGATTTATGACAGTACAAGGGACTAAAGAGAGGACTGAAAAGGTTTTATCTTGCTAGTGTACACACTCATCCAGTTTGATGCAGCCTAAAATTATGGTTGGGAACCTGAGAGAATGGACAGGGTATCATAAACAAAGCCTCTTTCATGAGACAGAGCTGGGACTTCTAGTGATAAAATTCTTTTTTTTTCTCTCTCTCTCTTATCGCCCTTAGTGAAATGAATACAAAGGCCAATATACCAAATGCTCACGGTTGCACCACAGAGACCTGTAACTCAGAGAGGAGCTCTGCCCAGGGCGTGGGCCCAGCTCTGCATTGATTTGCTCTGCCATTTTGGGAAAGTCTTTGCCTCTCTGCATTCTAGGTTCTTTAACTTAAATGGAGAAGTTGAATATAAGTCTCTAGTGTCCTTAAAGGACGTTCCAGAGTCCTAATTCTGTGACCTTCAGACTTAGGTAGAACTCCTTTCAGGAGTGCCAGGCCTTCATTTGACTTCAAAGGAGTCGAATCTCAGTTCTTTAGAGCAAAATCCATGAGCTTAGTTTTTTGGGATTCTTTCTTTTTTGCATCAAACCCAATAGCTTCTTTCACCTATGTGCCCAAAGTAATGAATCCTGAATTTTGTGCTATCCAGAGTAGCCAAGGCTGCAGCCCCGGGGAAGTCCCAGTGCTCCTCATGAGTATGGACGGGACTGCCAGTCAGCTGTGGGATCATCGGCAATGCTTTCCTCAGAAGTTTTACTGAAACACTTACTTGGAACTTGTGTCAGCACTCGAAAGACCCTCTGATAATTTCTAGAGAAGGCTGATGTTTTCTAGTCCATGAGAGAGCTGACCTGACTCCCTCGCAGAGGGAGTGGAAGGAGAGCCAGGGGCAGTTTGCAGCCTCCTGACGCAACTACTATTTGAGAACCTCCTCACTGTAGAGGAAGGGCACTGGGTCCTCCACAGCAGTCTCCCCACCACTACCCCGGCCGCCTCTCTCCTCCCTCTTGGCGGTATCTGTGAACATTTGTGTTGGTCTTTATAATGATCAGGTTCTCTCACTCTGCCGTTCTGCTTCTCCTTTCTCCAACTGTCTCGACAAACAAGACCTGCAGCAGCATCTTTTCGGCTGCCAGGGGTGTTTCAGCTATTGATCTGTATTCTGAGTGCGTGTGTGTCTCATTTCATAACGTGAGGAAAGGGAAGCCGTCTCAGACAAAGCTATTCTTAGATGTGGAAACCAAATTCTGCAGTTTCTTGGAGCCTTTTGATTTTCTGCAGAGGGATCATCTCTGCACTTTGTAAGATGGCACAGAGAGGGTATTACAGGCTTCCCCAGGGGATGGAAATTCCAGAGCACATTCTTGGGAGGCATAAAGGGAAGTCGCCAGCATTATTGGCTTGCTAACTTTAAACAAGCACAAATTATAACATTTGAAACCGTAAAATTTTAGAATCTTAGAATCCTGGAGTCTGTGTTCCAAGCTGAAATATACCATTGAAGTTGTGGCTGAACTTCCTACCTATTGTTGTCTGTCAGAACAGTCTCTGCTTGCGTACCCCAGGAGAGGAAACTTCACTATCTCTCCATGGGGGCGGGGCGGGGGGGGAGTGAGCTAACCTTTATGAAGTGCTTTTAATGTGTCAAGCACTATTCTAAGGGTCTGGCACATATTAATTAATTAACGTGCTTACCATAGGTGACCATGATAGTATCTGTGAAGTAGGAATTGTTGTGACTCCCATTTTACAGATGAGAAGACTTCTGTGTTCTGTGGCTATTAAACAGCAGACCTGGGGTTTGGACTCAGGTATTTGGTCTGACTCTGTACTAGCTGTAACCACTGCCCTGTGATGGCTAGCTCTCAGAGACGTGCCCTGCTCTCTCTTACAAAGAAGAGATGTTCTCCACTCTTGCAAAGCCGCCCATACCTTTTAAATCAGGAGCTGGCAAAATTTTCCTGTAAAGGATCAGGTAATAAATGTTTTAGACTCTTCAGACCCTATGTTCTCTGCCATAGCTACCACTGTTATAGGAAGGCAGCCAGTCGGTATGGAATGGAATGGACACGATGGTGTTACTGAAACTGTAGTCACCAAAACAAGCTGCAGTTACCAAAACCTCTGTGTTTTTCCCATTTGAAATATGAAAAGATTCTGAGGTAAAATAAACTTGAAAATAGTCTTCTGCATATCCCTAACTTGGGTAGTCAAAGTTTGTCCTATCATTTTAAACTTCTCAGGGTCTTGGAATGAAAAAGAAACCCATTCATTGCTACTGTACATCACTACTTTTTTTTTTTTTTTTTTGGACAAAGTCATTATGATCCCTTGAATCATAGTCTATTGTGGACATGTCCATCTTGAGAATCCTGTTTTACAGATAAATAAACTGTGACTCTGAGGTGAAGTACCCCTCAGATGGCGCTTTCTAGATGTCTTCCAGCCTAGCCAGTGTCTGCTTCTCCTGTGACCACATCTCATGATTAGCCTCATAGTCTCGAACCTTGGAGGATCCTGTTCTAGACTCTTCCCCAGCTCCCTCACAGCTCCACTTCAGTTAGCTTCTCGTTCTTAACAATGCTAACTTCTCTGTGGTGTTTTCTTTCCATTCCATCCTTACTGCTCCTTATCTCCTAAGCATATTTGTTCACAAAATCAGTTTCTCACATAGCAAACTGGATCTGCAGGTGGAAAGATAAATGACATGATTCCAGGTGGGAGGGCGGGACACCTATCGTGGTGCCTTTTGTGGCAACCAAACAGCAGCTTTCATCCTACAGATACCTCACCACGGCAGGGCACCACACCACACCAGAGCTGGAATGGCTTGCTTTTACTTGGAATTAGAGCAAAAGAACCTTAGGATCTTTACAACAGTGGGATTTTAGTTCAGGAAGAGAACTTCATTTTTAGCTTTCTGATTTTATAAAATAAGAAACTTAAGACCCAGAGACTTGGCAATAGTCACAACAAATTGTGCAAAACAATAATGATCTCCTCTCTTCCCATAAAGCAACCTCTTTACTTCGCCCCTTAAAGCCAAGATCCCCTGGTACTGTGCCTTCAACTCAGAAGTTTCTAAAAAGATCTGACTTTTTGAGCCTGCTATATGAAGATCTCCTTTTATAAAGTAGGGGATTTGGGGGTCACTTGATGGTTACTTGGGTTCCATAGAATCATTCCATTTTGTGATATGTAAGGACACAATCTTGTTCCTGAGTGATTCATGTTTCATATTTTTTTTTTTAAGATTTATTTATTTATTTATACAAGCACTGGGTACAGTCAGAAGCGCGGGAGGGTGAGAGAATTCACCAGAGCCAGAGCAGGGAGCAGAGCAGGCAGAAGGACCGAAGTACACTGCTGAGGGGAGCAGCGGGCGGCAGGAGAGGTCTGCGCGCCATGCAGGACCCTCCTCTGGTGGCCGGGGAGCAGCCAGGGATGGAACCAGCGCTGCAGAGCCTGTGGGCAGCTTCGCAACCCAGCGCTCAACCACTGCGCCACCGGGGAGGCCCTCATGTTTCATATTTTTCATGTGAATATAGACTATGACTCTCTTCCAGAAGATTCAGAGCAGCACAATTGAATAGCTGATTGTGAGCTTCTTGAGGCCTGACTGCTCAGCCCCAGTCCCAGCCTTTGTCCACCCAGCTGCTGTACCAAAATGGCCTGAAACTTCTCTGGCCTAGGATCTCAGGCAGAGGCGGTTTTCTTCTGAGCCTCACGAGTGGGGAGGAAGAGCCAGCTCTGTAGAGCATAGCTGTTCAGCATCCCAGAAAATGAGGTGTTTGAGGTTTTCAACTTAGAAAATGAGGTGTTTGAGGGCGGAAGGGAAACATGGCAGATGGAAGTCCAAAAAGGGGGAGTTTCAAGAATAATAGAGAGGGTAAGAGGAAAACAGGACAGAAAGGGCAGCAGAAGATACTCTGGGGTGCTGAGTGAGAAGACTTTTACAGCAAGCCTCTGAGAGTCTCCCGTCCACATGCACCTGAATGGCTCACACGCAGCACTCCGCATCCCAGACTGTCCGAGCTGCAGGGGGTCCTTTAAGAGAGTGTCTAGTTCCAGCCTCTCATTTTATAGACGAGAACCCTGAGACCCAGAGATCCAAAAGAGGCCAGAGCCACACAGGCAGCCCTGTGCACCAGGACAGAGAGCTGCTCTGGGGGCGGGGCCAGGGCTCTCTGCGTGGAGTCCTGTCCTGTCTGTTCTCATCTGTGTTTCCAGCCTGGATTCAGCCCATCTTTGCCTGGGGGGTCGTGACTGGGACCTGCTGCCTTTCCGGGATGCTCTTCTGCCAACTAATTGGAAGTCTCTCTCATTGCATTGGTACAGGATACACTGCGGGGACACCATACAAGGTCCCACCGACCCAGAATAATACTGCTCCGCCCCCCTACTCCCCATCACCCAATCCCTATCAGACGGCCATGTATCCAATCAGAAGTGCCTACCCCCAGCAGAATCTGTATGCCCAGGTAGGTGCATTGGAAGTAGGCCCACCCCTTCCGCAGGTAAAGAAGCCACCCACAGGGATGGGGGTAGAGGTAGGTGGGGGAAGAGGGGGAGGAGGGTTTATGGGCCCGGGCAGCTGTCACTACTGTGTCATTAAACAGTGGCCCTGCAGCCTGCACACCCCCTCACTCCACCTCAGCATCTGGAGGGGGATGCGTGAGATCATTCCCACTCAACTCCTTTGAATACCAGTGGGGGAACTGACATCGAGAGGAGACTTGTCCAGGGTCACACATGGCGTTATTAGACTTTCGTCTCCACCTCCCACATCTACCCTTCCTTTTAAAAGTCTGTGAAGTGACTGGGGAGGAGATAATTACCCAGACTCTACAACCAGCTCCCTGGATGACCTTGGGCATGTTCTTTGCGCCCTCTGCGCCCCCATCGGGGCTCAGTGTGTACACCATGAGGGGAGGGCCAGGAGGCGGACTCTGTGAGGCTGCAGCACACATGCGGCACACGTGGAATGGCGAGAACACTTTTAGTTTAAAAAACAGCGGTATTGTAGAGTAGAAGTCAAAACTTTCAAAGGATAAAACAATAGGCTTGACATAATTTTTTCTCATTTACGGTTTGTACTAGGCTGCTTAAAGGTTGCTTTGCGCTGCCCCAGACCTCGATACTTACAAACCCACATTCTGAGGCGCTTATCATTATTTTTTTTTTCAATGTTCTCTATCTTTTTTTTTTTTTTTAAGGTTTATTTATTTATACAAGCACTGGGCACAGTCAGAAGCGCGGGAGGGTGAGAGAATTCCCCAGAGCGGGGAGCAGAGCAGGCAGAAGGACCGAAGTACACTGCTGAGGGGAGCAGCGGGCGGCAGGAGAGGTCCGCGCGCCATGTGGGACCCTCCTCTGGTGGCCGGGGAGCAGCCGGGGATCGAACCGGCACTGCAGAGGCTGCGGGCAGCTCCGCAAGCCAGCGCTCAACTGCTGCACTACCGGGGAGGCTCCTTATCATTATTAATAACATTTAAGAAGTCCCAGATTAAGATGATCCGGGGACCCTTGTCTACTCCACGCAAGGGTCAGCAGGCTGTGGCTGTGGCGGCAGGAAGCCGCCACGTGATCCAGGCAGAGGGAAGTCACTCCAGGTCCTCGCCGCCATCCCACCATTTTGCCTAAAGGGAAGTGGATGGAAGAGACACGGGGGACTGCTCTCTCCGTGTACACCCCCCGTAGGTAAAAGGGGAACAGGGACAGTACTGGACCCCCGTGGTAATCCTTCGTGTGTGCACACAGCCTCTGGCTTTCGCCAGCCCCGCCCGCGTCCTTCTTCGCACATCAGGCAGCTTACAGCACACGCTGCAGTACGTACAGTTTTCAACGCTGACTTCAGCGTTCAGGGAGTCGAGTGTTGCCCCGGGAGCAACTTAGGGCAGGGTTGGAACCTTATTCTTCAGACCAGACGCTGAGCCCAACACTGAACTATTCCGAGGCAAGTAGTGAGGTGGAAGCGGAGCCCGGTTGGGGCCCAGAGTGTGTGTCCCTGAGCCGGTGCTGCTCTGACCCACCCTCCAGGTCAGGGAGGAACCGGATCCCCTCTCCACATGCTGCCTCCCCTCCCGAGAAACCCATGTGGCCTCATCTTCTTTCCATAGGGAGCCTACTACACGCAGCCGGTGTATGCTGCCCAGCCCCACGTCATCCACCACACCACGGTCGTCCAGCCCAACAGCATCCCCTCCGCCATCTACCCGGCGCCAGTTGCTGCCCCAAGGACCAACGGCGTGGCCATGGGCATGGTGGCAGGCACCACCATGGCGATGTCAGCAGGTAAAGGCGGCCTTTGTGTCCATCATCCCTGTGCCGGGGGATCTGGGAATCCAGAGGAACGTCCCTTTAACCGTCCTCAGGGATGAGGAAGATTTTGAGTTGGGCGTATGGAACTAGGCCTTCGAGGGAGAACAGAGGCTGACCAGAGGCGAGCGCGGGCAGGGCAGTTCGGGAGGACAAAGCCTGAGTGCGGCCCGTGCACAGACTCGTGGAGCTGTGCGGTCCAGGACTCGTGGAGCTGGGGGCACGCCGTCCAGAGGGGGGCCGGGGAGTCAGCAAAGGTGAGCGGTGCAGGGTCTCGAATACCTTGATCTCACGGAAGCTGGCACCGGGGCTTCGGCAGAGAAGCCACATTCTCTGGCTAGAAGATGGAGGCAGAATTAGATGGGGAGGCTGTGCGGACTCGGCAGCAGGGTTCTCCAAAGAGTAGGGTGTGCGTTCGGGATACGTCACTCATTAATGGTAAGGTGCGAGAGGGGCAGGAGGCCAGGAAGACCCTTCTCCGGCTCTGGCTTAGACCGGACCTCACACCGGAACTCTGCCCTACGGGAGCCTTGAGGGCCTGGGTGGGGAGAGATGCCAGAGGACGAGCAGCTTCAGGGAAGCCTGGGTGTGATGACGTTCAGAAGAGCAGGAGAGAAGAGGGCTCTCGCTTTCAGAAACCCAACTTCTAAACGCAAGCTGGCCGCCCAGGGAAGAGGATACAACGGGTGGGCAGGGGGTGGGGTTTTATTCTGCCTCTAAGGGCAGGGGCTGCTGAGGGCTCATTCCCCAGATCGGAACAGTGAGGTACTGACTGCTTGGTGCCAGCCGACCCAGAGTGAGGCTGCTCTGTCCCCCCGTTCCTCCTTGTTGGGGTCCTAGGGCCCGGTTACCAGTTGCTCAGGCCAGAGCCCTCGCCTCAGGAACCGAGAGGTCAGTGGGAAAGCCCCGCAGACCACCGGCTAGCACTCGGCGTGGTGACTGGGCGGTAAGGGCACACAGTGACGGGTAAAAGGAGACGCTGAGGACTAGTGGTTGTCCTAGAGCATCTGAAAAGTTGCCCCTAAAGACATGAAGTCTGACCTCGTGCCCTCGGCAGCTGTGTCAGGTTTACTCTTCTCTCTTCCTATGCCCAGGGACCCTGCTGACTGCACCCCAGCACACCGCGATTGGGGCACACCCTGTCTCCATGCCAACATACAGGGCCCAAGGGACCCCTGCGTACAGCTATGTGCCTCCGCATTGGTAAAGCCTGCAGCCCATCCAAGTGAGTGGCGCCGGGGGTGGCCAGGCGGGAGGGGACTCGGGAGCCGCCTCAGATCCCCCCCGGGTCTGGACACGGTGTCGGCAGGGGCAGGCGGCGGTCACCAGGCGCTCTCCCCCAACACCAGTATCACTCTTAAGAATAGCTGTCACATACGTTCTAGATCCTTGTTCTCTCATGGTCCTCGCTGTAGTTCTGAAATCATAGCTGTTTTACAAGACAAATTTTACTGGTTAAGTGATGCCGAATTAAGCTGGAACTTGACTCCAGTCCTCTAGTACCAAACTCTGTGTTCTTTACTATAAGGGCTTAAGGCTTCTTAGAACTTCTTACAACTCATTCTTCAAATGCAATTTTACGTCAGTCAGAAGCAGCCCCCACCCCCGAGCTTCCTTGCTGCCTAGTCAGCTCCCAAGGCAGTGCCAGTGAGCCACAGGGCTCTGAGAAGTCATTTTGAAATCCCCTGCCCTCCACCACCTCCAGGAAGGCTGGGCGCTCAACCCGAAGCAGGTAGCTCCATGGGGAAGTTACGGGGCGGGTGGAGGGTGGGGCAGGGAGAGGCCTCCATTTAGGGCTCCCCAGGTGAGGGGAAGGAGTCCAGCGGCTGCTTGATGCTTGCAGTGGCTTCAAAACGTCTTCATTGCTCATGGTTTCCCCTTCCTCCCCCAGCTCTGGAGTCACACATTGTATGCAACTACTCAAGTCTTACACAGGTGCTGGAGCAGTTCCCTAGCAGCACCACCTCTATTTGCAAGAAGAGATAACGGAAGTGCAAGGGTCACTTTATGCATCTTAAATGGTTTTGGTTTTTATTTTTGGTTTTTGTAAAAGCTGCTTTTTCTAAGCTCCTGCCTCTCCCACTGTCCCCCTCTTAGCCGCTGCCCCTCTACTTCTAGCCCTTCCTTCTACTGACCAGGCACATCCTCTCTGCTCTTCCCTTTCCCAAGCATCCAGTCCCCGGGGAGCCCAGTCTAGAGCCAGGGAGACAGTGTGGTTTGTCGCCGTGGTTCAGCTGAAGGCTTGGTTTTCTTTGAAGGGCGTGACAGACGTGGCCCTCCGGTCCAGGGTAGGGTCTCAGAACTGGTGAGCAGGCCACCTCTCCTGGAGATTGTTTCTTTTATGATTTTTCTTATGATTAGTTTAGGACATACTATGTCCTGACACAAATGTAATGTCTTCTGAGAACCATCGCAACAGACCAAGAACAAAATCACCTGATTAGGTAGGAATGTTCATAGCAGCTTAATATCCCAGGCTAAGAACCTGGGGAAACCAGATTCTTACCTTGGGAGAACCTGGGGAGGGAGCAGGGCGGGCGGTAAGGAAGAAGCAGGGCGAGGTTCTTGCCCTGCTGGCTTTGTATGGAAAGGTCTCTGGCCAAACAGTCTGGGCCTGGACCCTCTGATTTGCACAGTGATGTCCTGGCACTTCCTCAGAAGGCGACTGACTTCAGATCTGCCCAGCAGCTGCAGGGCAGCAGGATCCCAGCCTCCCAAAGCCTTGGAAGGCCAGACACCCCTGTAATCCAGACCTTGGCCCCTGAGCCCTCACAGTCCCACTCTGATGAGGAGCTTCCTCCTGATGAGAGTGGGCGCCTGTGGCATCTCTCCCCCTTCCCCCTGCCCTTCCCTTCACAGGGCTCACCCGTCTGTCCATGGGGCTGGCAGGCAAGCCAAGCTCTTGGTTACCTGATGCCATTCATGGCCAAAGTGAAGGAACCACTTTCCAGGTGGGTGCTGGTGGCTCTGAAGGTCAGGATAGTGAAGGAAAAGCAATAGCAATAAACATTTCATAGACTCATGGAACTGAAGGGACCTTAGCAATCATCTCATCCATTCCCCTGTTTGACAGCTGAGGCCCAGAGAAGAGGAAAGGACTTCCTTAGAGCTCCAGTAAATTAGCATTAAATGCAGCCTTCCTGCCTAGGGACTTGTTGCCTACAAAAAAATCACCTAGGATGGAGTGGTTTGGTTTTGGAAAAATTAGGTCAGCAGCGCCCACACCTGGTGAGCTCTGGAATAGTCTCTGGGCTTTTGTTTCTGCTCTTCCCTCAAGGACTCCCAGTGCGGGGGTTGAAGACTGGGCAGAGGTCACATGAGGCAGATGGCAGGACAGAAATTGCAAATGAAGAAATAACATTTGGAAATTCTGTGAAGACATCTGGAACTTGCATCCTGTTCCTAATTCCAGCCCTAGGAGAAGGAGCAGGAGGGCTGGCTGAAAAGGAGTCTCTGCTTTTAGGACAGTGGCCCCTCATCCTGAGAGGAGAAGAGGGCGAGGATGAGGCCCAGGAGACGGTGGCTCTCCTGAGAGAAGAGACCTGTGGGACAGGAGGCCCCGCTAGGCTCAGCCAGGAACCCTGGTTGCCCAGCGCTGCTCTCCTGCTCCTGGCGTTCGGCTGGGCCAGCAGCCCTTCTGGTAGGGGCGAGGACATTTTACTGTACAAAATGGGATCATTGATGACATTTGGGACTTTTAAATAACTTTTCATTTTAAATTCATGCAAACTTAGATATACCCTTACCCCTACCTCCACGTCTCCCTAAAGGAGGAAAAAAGTCAGGAAACCCTTGGGCCAAAAGGACCTCGGAGGCTGGCTGGTCATTCCGAGGAGGGCAAAGCCCATCAGCATCCTCAGCCCAGATCCAGGAGTTGGGGGCCGCCTTCTTGGCCTCCTAGGGAACTGCAGGGCCAGTAAGGAGAAACCCAGCGCTGTTCTAAACAGTCTCGTAGGGTGCTGACGAGGTTTCAACAAAGTTTTCCAGTGTTAATCCATTTTTTTTTGCAAATACCTCGTCCCACTCTCTGGTTTTGTAAGGGTGGGTGAAGGTTGTTTTAGATTATGTTATACATGTTTGGAAAATGCCAAAATAATAGAAAATCTTTGCATTTACCAGGTGCTTCGTAGATTTCAAAGCACTTCACAGCCTTTAATTTACTGGCCCTGAAAGAGAGACCGGGTCAGAGCTATTTACACCCATTTGGCAAATAAGGAAACTGGTTCTCGAAGGAAAGGGCGCTTGCCCAACATGAGCAGAATGCTGAGATCCTAACCGACTCCCTTGCACCCTGCTGCATCTAGGTGAACTGGGGTAGATTCAGAGAGGAGACGACCTAGGAATGACCTTGTCACTTTGGTTATTACACAGTTAAGTAGAAACTAACATCTAGTACCTCACAGTTCATGAAACAATTTCCCACCCATCATCTGGTTTAACTCTGAAATAGATTATTCCTTCTATTTGCTCCACAAGGAAACAGAAAAGCAAAGTGACCTGCTAATCAGCAGTCACTCGAATCCCAGTGTCTGCAGACAAGGGCTTGCAGACTGAAGCGTCTATGCTCTGCACCTTCCCTTAGCCCCACCTACTATGTAATTCGAGATCAAAGACAGGCCCCAAGGCCAAGAACCACATGTGGAAAGGCTGGCAAAGTGCAGGCCCAGCACCCTTTTTACAGTGTGAGCACCAGAGCCCCAGTTCAGCTGGCCTCACCCTCTTGCTTTGACGAGATCCACAAGCCTGGCCAAGCTTGGGGAGTCACTGCGAGGCGCTGAGCCCAGGAGGCCAGGGATGGAGGTGTGCCTGTTAAGGTCACAGGTGTCTGTCATGGGTATCCTCCAAAGATGATTTGGTCACGCCAGACAGGTCGACTGACCTGGAAAGACCCTTTGTCAGAAGTCCAACAAGCCTGAGAGGGAACAGGAAGTTCCACTTGGAGTGAGCTGTAGTACTGCCGCCAGCCCATGCCTCTCCCCAGCACTACAAGCTCCATGGCCAGGGTGGGCAGTACAGGTAGTCACCAGCCAGTCCTCTTGGCCCCCCACTTCTCCCGGACTCCCCTCTCATTAGCCTGGAGGCTGGAGTGCCCCCAAGTGGTGAGAGCCTAATATACAATCTTTCTGCCACTTTTGGGGGAAAAAAAACTTAATTTCTCCACCTAAGACAGGACAGTTGCTGCTCCTCCCTCTCTCCTGGCAGTGACCCTAAAGTGCATATCCCTAAATACTCATCAAGAACACACACCTGTCTAGTTTTTTCATGCATAAAGTACTTAGATATCGATTGCCAAAATCCTTTTTTTGATGGAAAAAACGAAGTCTGGGAAAGTGTAAAGAAAACTAAGATTTGGGCCTTTTAAATCTCCTGCCCTTCCTGCTGGTACCTGCTGGGTTTCTAATGGCAGGTATGAAGAAGGGATGTCTGCCCCAGCAGAGGAAGATGCCAGAGGCCCAGGAAGCTCAGTCTTCCCAGCTGAGGAGATTTTTATTAGGGGCTCTGGGGACCCGGAGACCTGTCTAGCTGGCAGCACTGGGAGGATGAGAATTTGCAAAAAGGCCTAACTTTACAATAGCACTTTGGGGTCATGATGCCAAGGACCAAAGACATGCTCAGAGGCCTCCTTGTTGATGGAACTCTGTACGCCCTAGTTCCCTGACCACGGAGAGCCTGCCCACTGTCCACGAGTTGGCACTTCAAGGGGGGCTCTGATCGCCTACCACACATCCAGTCCCTGGGCTTGAGTGACCTAGGGACACTGCAGTCTCACCCCAGCTCTTACCCTGACCATCCAAATTTTCTTCTAGATGTGAGGTGTCCCACTTCCAGGCCTCTGGCAGTGCTTCTTTGGAGGGGCTTCCTTTGTCCTGAGTGACCTTCAGAAAAGAATCACATGGAGCTTGAAAGTAGGACAGGCCCCAGGTCACCAAGTTCTGGTGTCTCATTATGTGGACAGGACTTGGCGTGAGGCCCAGTGAGGCACTGGCTGAGCCAGCCTGGAGCCCTGCAGATCAGATTCGTAGGCTCTGCTTTGTGTCCAGATAGGGCCCAGAGGGCGTGGCGCTTGAGCCTGGTGTGGATCAGGAATTTCGATATGACCACCACCACATTTCAGGTGCAGCTGAATGTGTGGAAACTGCTTTTCCATCCTGTACCCCAGTCCAGCACATTACTATAGGGTATGCTGCCCCCGGCCACTTGCCAAACTTGGGAGTCCAGAGAGGAACAGGTTGGGCAGAGAGTGAGCAGGTGGGAAGCGGGTGTGGTGACAGTGAGCAGCCCCAGGGGAATCCAGATCCCACCCCAAAGCAGGATCATGGCAGTGGACACCCAGCCAGGCTATGATCAAACTCCAAACTGTGGACATGCCAGGGCTGGCCTTTACCCGCCACCTTCCCCTCGCCTTGAAAATTTGTACCTGAAATCAAGCATTACCTGGCTCCAGGGCCCAGCCTTCAAAATCCAGGCCAGCTTCAACATTCCATAGCCAGCTTTGCCTCCCGCTCCCTCAGTTTCTCCAGTGGGTATTTTCTACCATGCATGCTGTCCAGTCCAGCCCAGAGGCCAAGTGAGGGACACAGGAGTTGGCATTGGCTGCCACAAAGCCTGAAAAAATGAGCTCTTGCTTCCCCATGACTCATCCGTAGCCCCAGGGCATCCTCGCTGTGGCCGTGGCCGTGCCGTGGCGTGCCGTTTCATTCCAGTTTCTGGTAGAGGGTAGTTTCCTTCCTGAAGCAGAACAGAAACAGCAACCTTGCAGATAAGCATCAGCCCGTAGGAGTCAAATGGGTGACATCACCCTCAGGCCTGACCCCAGCAAGACCAGCATGTCCAGGCTCCCACCTTCCCTGCAGGCCCAAGGGGAGAGCGGGACCCCTGGAGGCCTTCGTTGCCCAGATTAGCCGATCTGTGCTTGGACTCAAGCGCCTCCTCGCCAGAGGAGCGGTCAGGCCAGCCTCCAGCAGCTTGGGGTTGTGTGAAATGGCCTCGAGGCCCAAGGGACTGTCCCCATCTCCTGACTCAAAGGCATCTGCATCCCTGTTTCATATCACATGACAGAGAAACCTGTTCTCATGGCATGTAACATCCCTGTGAGAGCGTTGTATATGATTTTGTATTTTTTAATTCATTTTAATCTACAGGTTGGAATCTAATTTTTAAATTTTATTGGAACTCACATTTTAAAAAGAAACATTTAAAATAATAAACCTTTGACTGGTGTCTTCCAAGTAGTTTGATCAAAAGAACTTATAGGTGTTTTCAAAACACAGCCTGGAGTGTAAAGATTGGAAAGCCCCGTGGCCGCGCTCGTGTGTATGAAGTGTAAATCTGGTTTCGTTTTGTTGTTTTGGATTCTTTTGGGTTTTGTTTTGTTTTGAAGATCAGATAGTGATCACTCTGAAAGATTGAAGCCAAGAATTTGTAATTATGATATTTACTGTAAGCTGTAGAACATTCAATAACTATTAAAAAAAAAAGTTTCCAAAAAAAAAAATAGTCTTAGGTGCCCAGATGTGGTTCTTGGGGGAAGGGGATACAGAAGCAGCCTGGGCTTCTCTGGAGCTCAAGAGGAACAAGCCAGAAAAGCTTACAGGTAAAGGTGGGGGGACCCTGAAGGCCAAGGGCAACGGGCACCTGGTCCCTCTGTTCCTCATCCCACTCCTGGGAGACCTCAACACTCCCAAGGGGTAGGTGAAGAAACAGGCCTTTCTGTGCCTTTCTCTTACCTTCCAGTTGGCAGAACATGGAGGGGTGCTCTGCGGTGGAGCAGTGCGTACAATCCCGGGGCGCAGCACCAAAATGGGTGTTCCTGCCCCAGGCGGGAGGGTATTTAGAGGCTGCTGTCCAGCCCTCCCCTGGGACAGGAGGCCAGAGAATCGAGGGGAGCGGTTCTCCGTCTCATTCTCCTCCAAGTCCTGGGTGAAGTAGGGCGGGCGGGCTGAGGGGACAGCCACGTGGGAAGAAGCCGGACAGATGCAGCTGAATAGGGACACCAGTGCACCCTGGTGGCCGCCGTCAGCAGTTCCTTGAGGCGCTGCTGATGCTGCCAATCCCCTACAACAGGTCCATTCCAGATGTGGACAGTCTTTGATGTCCAGAAAATTCCTCCTGATGTTTCGATCTCCCCATTTCCTTCCCTCCCTTCTCCTAGTGAAGGTGAAGCTTTGTTCCAATCCTTTTCCTGCTCATCCCAGAAGCCCCAGAAAACCACCTGTACCCTGGAGATCTGAGAGGCTAGAAAAGAATCTCACGGCAAGTCTGCCCAGCCTCCCTTCAGCGCAGGAGGGTTTTCTCTGCAGCTTGACCACTGCCCTGGAGAAAGGCCTCTACATGGCTTCTCCCCCGCGCCCAGCGCACCTGAAATCCTGCAGAACGCCCCTCTACACCTCCTGGCTCCGTCAAGTGTCCCTTCCTCATTCTTCAGCCTCTTAGCCTCTTTCACAGGAATTGTGCCCCCTTTTCCATGTTTTGCCCTGACCCACCCCCGACTCCCAAGCCCAGTGGTTCTGACCCAGGAATGCTTGCAGCCATGTTGCTCTCATCACCCGCCATGGCCCAGCCTCCACCATCTCCTCCTCGGGGAACCTGTTCCTGCAGCTCCTCACGCTCCACGCTAGGGTCCAGGGTGAGCTAACGTCCTACTCTCCCCTTCGAGGTGTCCAGAGACTCCTTGGCATCCCTTGCGCCAGACTGACAAAGGCTTTGAGAGCCCCCGGCCACCGAGCCCACCTCTCAGTCACCCTTTCGGCTCCTCCAGTCTTATTTCTGTCAATGTCTGACCTTGACACGTGCTGCTGTCAGTGGGGTACCGCTTCCCTTCCCACATTGAGCCCCCAGTTTGTCTCACTTACCCCTCATCTTCCAGGCTCCACTTCTAGAACTTACCCAACATGGGGCCACCAGCCATTGTGTGATCAGCCCGTGAAATATGCTGACTCGTGTTAAGAAGTGCTTGAAGTGTAACATACACACCACATTTCAAAACAAAAATATAAACAGTGCTGGAGTTCACGTTGCTTTTCCATTGAACATAACCTCAGATCTACTGGCTACAGAAAACACTGCTATGGCTTAGATTCATTTCACCCCTTTTGCTGTAAACATGGCTAGTAGAAAACTGTAAATCGCGCATGTGGCTCACACCACACTTGCGTGGGGCGGCGCGGCCTCGAGGGCCTGCAGTGAGAACCACGGGGGCGGGGGGGCGGGGGGCCTCCCCACCCCATCCCTCCTGTTGCCTGCTGCCCGGGATGCCGCGGGCGTCCCTCCCACAGTGGCCGACACAGACCACGCAGCGGTCGGCCGGGTGGCCTGGGGGAGAGGCACAGGGAAAAGAAGCTCCTCGTGACACCACTTTCCCACCTTTTATTATTTAACAAACGGATGGGGACGAAGATGCAAGACAAGGACAACAGCGAAGTTTCAATAAATAAGAAATGGGAGGGTGGTGGGGCCCGTGCCTGCACAGTCCCAACATAAATAACCAGGTTGCTGAGCTAGAATGGAGATGGGGGCTGGGCAGGACAGTCGCCTGCACTGTCCAGGCCCTGGGGACAGACACACTGACACGACGGGGCAACGCCTCTCCAGCCCTGCCACACGCTCTTCTCTCTGGAAGCTCCAGAGACCCTGGGGGTGGCGGGCTGAGCTCTGCACCACAGCACCGCCCAGATGAAGTCTGTTTTGTTGTTTCAATAAAAACAGCAGAGTGGGGGGCGGGGCAGGCACATGCATCGAGCCCCTCCATAGGCCGTGGATGGGCTGCCCCATGGGGGCCTTGAATTGAAAGTGGAGGCCCTGGAAGCAGCAAAAATGAGGCCAGTTAAAGCTTCTAATGAGAAGGGGTGGCAAGGAGTCAAGTTCTCCCCCAAACAACCCCGCCAGGACCTCCAGGGAGCTGGAGAGGCCGCGGGTTCTGAGGCCTCCTCCCCTCTCCACAGTCAGAAAAATTGGGCTCCAGTGATGGCCGGGGACTTGCCAGGATGAGAACCCAGGAAGTCAGCCGTCCAGCCCTCAGGCTCGTGATGCCCCTTCCCACGGGACCTGCCGGAGCAGGGAGGGTACAGATGACCATCTGCCTGAGGCCCGGCACAGAGGCAAGGGCTGCCTAATTACCAAGGTGTGGGGTACTGGGGGTGCCAGGCAGAAGGCCCCTCCACCATCAAGGCCTAGCCACCTGGGTGTACAGAGGATCCCTTGGGCTCCTAGGAACTGCCAGGGCAGGGTGCAGGGTCAGAGGCGTCCTGCAGGGAAGGAGCTGGGGCAGCAGGCATGGGAGGGAGTCTCAACCTGCTCCTGCACACAGCACCCACTGCCTCCTCCTGGGGCAGACAGTCCCACCTCCAGGCCTTGACTTTGGCTGTTTTGTCTGCTGGGCCGTTGCTTCTTGGTCCTCACAGGCCCAGCTGCAGCTCTACCTCCTCCAGGAAGCCGCCAGAACCTCCCAGGGCAGGGCTGCATTGTCTTCAGATGTGACAGCTCCTCAGATAACCAGGTTGCTCTCACTCAGTCGAACCACATAGCGGTTCTCCTAGAGGACAGGGTTGAGGGGTCAGAGATGAGTCAGGGAGGGGTCTGGACTCCAGGAAAGTTGCCCCTGGACCCCCACCTTGCCCCATCTCCAGTCAGGGTTGGCCTAGGAGCCCACAGACACCTTCCCTGTCTGCCTCTCACCTCAGCCTTGTTCTCTGCTAGAGGCTTCAGCCACTTAGTGTGGCTTCCGCTGCTTCCCAGCAGGGCCAGCTGCTCAGTGGGGAGGCCGGGTTGCGGGGAGTCAGGGAGATTGCCCCCCGAGGGCCCGCCCTCTGTGATGGTCTTCACCTCTGGCGCTAGTGAGTTCGTCCGCTGCTCAGGAATCCGGGCCACGCGGAACCTGTGTGGAGAGGTGGCTGTCAGCTGCCCCTTAGCAGGGGAACCCCAGGTGCTGAAAGGGCAGCCTCTGCCCAGGGTCTCCCAGCAGGCTCATGGATCGGGAGGCGCGTCCCTGCCAGCACCCTCCCCGCAAGCCCAGGCTGCAGTGGACAGGCTGTTGGCCTGAGGGGCCCAGACCCTGCCCTGGGAACCCACGGGCTCCATGAGAGACACAGCACAGCCGGGAAGACCGCACTTCTCGCTGGCCAGAGAGGCGGGGAGGGCAGGGCCATCGCTGGGCAGGGTGCTCAGGCTCCACCTGGGGCCCTGCCTCTGCCCCCTGCCGCTGTCATGTCGCTCCCTGGTCCCGCTGAGCCCGGGCCCGCCTCACCTGCCCACAGACAGGATGGTGATCTCGCTCTGCCGTCCTGCCTTGGCACCGGCCTTGGGAGCCCTGCCCACATTGGGCAGAAGTCTGGGAGTGGGAGCAGTGGCGGCTGCAGCCTCAGGGGACAGCAGCACCTCAGGCCACTTCTGGCTACAACGGGAGCAACAGGCGCCAGAGAGTGAAGCGAGGCCCTGCACGGTGTGGAGGTGGTGGCGATGCGGGCAGATGTGTGGCGTGCTGGGCGTGCCCGGCGGCAGCCTGTGGAAGGTACGGCGGTAACAGTTGGCACAGCAGGCCCCCAGCCAGATGAAGCAGTTAGGGGAATCCGGGTAACAGGAGAGGGGACATGCCCGAGAGCCCCAGGAGGCAGGCAGATCACCAGTGGGGTAGGTACCTCCTTGCCCACCTGCCTACTCACCTGGGCACAGGCCTCTGGCTTGTCTGCACCAGCTGTTTGCTGTGATACTCCTTCAGCAGCTCCTCCAGGGCCGCTGCATTCTCTGTGGGCAGTTGCAGTCAGAACCTGCTTCTGGGCCATGAGGGGAGACCACACCCCCGTGCCCTAGTACAATCCCCCTATCCACCAGCCACCCCTTCCCTGGCCTGGCCGAGCGCCTCCTCCACCCCTCAGCAGGCAAGAGGAGGAGGAAAAGAGGCAACGCAGTCAGCCATCCTGGTGAGAGGGCCAGCTAGCCCGGGCCCCCCGGCAGGAGGCCAGAGCAGGGTGGGACTCTAACCCCAAACTCAGGGAGGAGCACAGGAGAGGGTCATGCACCCCACCTTTCTTCTCTGTGATCAGGCGCACCAGGACCCCGATGGTGTCCTCATTGGCGTCCTCAGCTAAATAGGCTGGGTTGATCCCTGCGGAAGGAAAAGGCCATGACCCTGGGGAAGTCTGGGGGCAAGACCCGGCTTGCGAGCTACTCCAGGATGCGCCAGCAGAGGGCGCCCCAGGCCTTCCAAAGGCTGAGGCGCATGCCGGGCAGTCCTGCCCCTCCGCAAGCTCATTTCTCCTTCACCCCTCACATCACCTCGCCCGGCGCCCACAGCCCCCAGGGCCCCGTGGTTCGGGGCTCTCTGAACCCTAGTCCCTGCAGAGCAAGTGTGAGGGTTGGGGTCAGGCTCTTCTCTCCCCTCCTCAGCTATGGGCAGCCTCTGCCCAGAACCCTGGAGAAGTCTGGCCAACTGCCACTAGGGGCCCAGACCCCCGCTGCTCACGCCCTGTCTACAGAGCGAACCGAGGGCCTTTGGTCACCTTAGGGCCCAGCCACACAGTGTGGCAACAGGTTGCAGATGGAGCTGCTAGGACTGGCGCAACCATCCGCTGGAGCAAATCCTAGGCTAGGAAAACAAGCAGAGCCTCAGCACAATGGCCCGAGTTGCCACCTTCCTGCCTCCTCTTAGTCCCTGGCTCCTTCCTGTCCCTCCAGACCTCAGTGCCAGCAGCTTAGGGTTCAGCCAGCCCTAGGCAGCCCAGCACGGGCGGTGCCACTTCAGTCGATGTGGCCACAAGGTTCTGGGGGCGGTGGATGTGCGTGCGGGCCTCACGCCCCTCCTGGACTTTGGGGGACAGTGTCAGGGAGAAGAAAAGGGACCAGGGCCCTGGGAGCCTCAGGTGTGTGGTGCAGTCTCCGGAGTAACACAGACCAGAAGCCTCTTGTGTGCCGCCCACGACAACCGCCTCCCCCACTCCCCGCCAGGGTCAGAGGTCACCCCAGCACTATAAAGGCAGTCTGACCCTTGACCTACATACACAATTGTAGCCCCCAGGAGTCCAGAACCCCACTGCTGAGCAGGCCTCATCCAAGGTGGAAATCCCGCTGAAGCCCCTTGACCAGTGTCTTGCCTCTGCTCAGTCCCTGTCACCACCTGGGGCCACCTCAGCCTTCCTTCCACCCTGTCTGTCTGCAGCGTCTCCCTGGGGTCCACAGGCAGCACCTCGGGGAGGCCCCCCAGAAAGCCCGCTGCAGGCCTCTCCCTATCAGATCCTCCAGAGGAAGATTCTCTTGGGCAGCCCCCGAGCAGGGCCAGCCCAGCCTGCGCCCTCTGGCCCCCAACCTGGACCCCAGGGGGGCCTCACCGCTGCCTCCACCTTCAGGGCCAGGCCCGACTTCCTTGTGGGCCGTGCAGTGGTAGCCCTTCCGCTTGAGCAGGTTACACACCAGGATGCCCAGCAGCCCCATGAGACAGAAGATGGGCACGATGGCGATGACTGCGTACTGGGCGGCCGTCTCCTCGTGGCTGCCCGCCCGCGTGCCGTTCCCAGGCTGCTGCATCTCCTCACTGCCGCTGGCCCCTGCGGCCACCTCCACGCCTCGGCGGGCCCGGCGCCCCCGCTCTGAGCACCACGGAGGATGGCAGCATGAAGGGAAGATGGAGGCAGAGAATCACAGACACGCAGACCCCAGGCCCAAGTTAGCGTGCGTGGGGCAAACTCACGTGCCCGCCCATCCCATGCTGGGGAAGCAGCTCCCCAGCCCCCGCCCCCTTTGCTGTCCGACCAGGACACCAGCCCTCTGGCCAGCCTCACACTGGGCTCCAGAGGGCGAGGGATGGCACCTGCGGCCCATGCCCGGACACAGGGACCCCAGGCCTGTCTTTATGACCTGGTCCACGAGTTAATGTCTCAGAAGGTGACCAGCTCAGGGGAGAAGGCGGTGTGTGTGTGCATGTGTGCTCACACTCATCTGGGGGGGCCTCTGAGGGAATGAAGAGCAGGATGTGAGCCCCCAGCCCCTCAACTGAGGCTGCCACCTGCTGGACAGTCTCTGCCATTCAAAAACAAGGTGGGTGGACAGTGGAGCAAGAGACCACACCTTCCCCGACTCTCCCCAGCTGTACCTCCCGCTAGTCCCCTGAGCAGTTGGAATGAGGACCCCAGAGCCCCAAATGAACATGGGGGGGGTGGTGGCGGTCTCCCTTAGTGCAGATTTGCTGGATCCCCTCCTGCACCGCCCCAGCAATTTCAGCCCCCGTCTGCACTCACCATGACAGCCTCGAGTGCCCAGAGGTGTCCAGGGGCATGGCTGGCAGGGAGCATGAGGGACTGCTGTGGGGGCAAACCACCTGCAGGGAGGGAACGTGTCACCAAGAACCAAAAACTATCCCTAAGAGAGGCTGGACTCCTTCCTGCTGGCCCCTCACTGGCCCTGGCCATCCCATTTCACAGATGGGAAGACTGAGCCAATTAAGGGGGCAGGTGAGGCTGGGACCCCAGGATTCAGGGTTCTGGTTATGCAGCTATGAGCCCCCCTCAACTCCCCACGGACCCCTTAGCTCACCCAGGCTGGCAGTCTCCACAGAGTGTGTCTTGAGTCTCGGTGCCCACCTGGGCCTTCAGCCTCCCTCGAGGGCTGCAGAGGGAGTGGGGTTGGCATCGGCTAGAGCCCCATGAGGCTGAGAAGGTGCCTAGGGGGCAAGGCCTGCAGAATGTGCCCTGCCCTAGGTCCTGTGGGAGAGAAAGGCGAGAGTGAAGCCAGGAGCCAGGCCTGAGGTCCCTGGGAAGCCAGGTATGGGGACTGCGCCTGCCTCCGAGTCTCCCCAGGACAGGGCCAATGGCAGGGTGACGCTCACCAGATCAGGCTCCTCCCCAGGTGGGCACTGCCAAGGGCTTGTTGGTGTTGGAGTGGCCAGAGGCCAGGACAGCAGCTGGAAGAAGAGTGGGCAGGAGCGCGCTGAGAGCAGATACAGAGTCATGGGGTCTCTGGTGCCATCCGTCGACCACCCACTTCCTGACAAGGCAGGGCTGGGGACCACCAGGCCAGCCCCGGGCTTCAGAGGCACTCTCTGGCCTCAATCCCTCATGCCTGACCCAGACTTGCTGCATGGCCATTGCCCAGGTTGGAAAAGAACCACATCTACTTCTGGAAAGTGCTGGAAAGCCCCAGGCAGAACTGAATCTGGCTCTCAAGCTCTGGGATCTCTGAGGCACACCCCTTCCATCTAACAAGGTCCTTGAGGAAGAAACGCTTCCCAATTCCTCTCAAGTTCTGCCCCCTTCCTGCCGCCCCTGCTGCCTCTCCTCCGCCAGCTGGGTGTGTTACTGACCAACTCTGTCCATCCACCCTGGGGCCAAGCCTGCAGCTGGTGCTTCCTATTCTGAGCTATCAGCTGAGCCTCTGGGACCACATCCTCCTCCATGACCTCCTCATGACAAGGCCAACTCCTTCACACCCCGGCTTCCACACAGGCATGGCACGTCCCAAGGGAAGGTTTTCTCAGTTTGTGTCTCTCAACGTACTCGACCATGAGCACCTCTGCTTCCTGTTCCAGATGTGACCTGTCTGCCCTGAGTCCCTCCTGCTGTGCGGAGACACCCCCACTGGCCCCTGCCACTCCTCCAATTTGGCCCCAGCTCGGCAGTGGTGGGAAGAGCAGAGCCAGTTGTCTTGGAGGGCCAAGAGAATGCCATCGGGAAGGCTCTGGGGACCTCTTCAGGCCCAGACCTGGGTGCCAGCGCCTGCCAAGTGCTACAAGGCCTCCTGCACTGGGAACACGGGGCCCAGGAGGTGCTTTCCGGGACCAGCCTTTCTCAGATCCTTCAAAGAGCTGGGAAAATGGCCTCAGCACCACCCAGGCGCCCTGGAGCAGCACCTGGACTCCATCAACTCCAAGGCCTGTGGCGCAGGCCCCAGACTCAACTCTGCATTTCCCCACAGTCCCATCCCAACTCACCACAAGGAGGCAGGACAGGGGCCAGAGCTGTGGGCTCAGCTTCATCCTCAGGCCCTGGTGGTCACCAGCCTAGAGCAGAAGAAAGGAGAGGAGGTGACACAGGCAAGGCAGTGCTGCTTCCAGGACAGGATGGGATTCATTTGCAAGGTGCTGTGGGCTTGGCCTACACTCACCATCCGGCCCTGCAAGCGAGAGTGGAGGCGGTGGGGTGGGGCGCCCTGTCTAGGGCCAGCCTCCCAGTGCAGCACAGACTGTAGGGGACCAAAGGCTCTGCCAGGCTTGGGGGGCTTCCCTAGGAGGAAGGGCTTCCTTCCCCTTTCATAAACAGGCACCTTGAAGCAGCGGGGTGGGGGAAGGAAGAGGCAGCGATGGCCCTGGGGGTGGGGGATGAGAGGGCTGGCAATCCCCTCCCCACAGTCTCTGCACCTCCTGGCCTCAGGCCCCAGCACTAGGAATGCCCTACAGGCTAAGGGCAGGTTCACGCAGCTCAAGGCTTCTCTCTAGCTACTTCTGCTGAAAGGCAGGCTCTTTCCTTCCCCCTCAAACCCAACATAAAGGCTTCCCTTTCCTGAAGCTTCTCTAGATCTCCCTTTCCCAGAGCTGTGTCTGATCCCCCACCCCACCCCACCCCCACCCCGCCCAAGGCCCATGCTTGTTCTCCACCCCACCCATCGCTGGGCCCACTGTCCACACCACCATTTCTCCATGAGCCCCGGAGCACACCTGACTGCATCTGTGCCCCAAGGCCAGCCTCAGGGAGTGCCTCAGGCAGAGTTGGGGTAGGGGGGCAGCTAGCAATTAGCCATCCTCCCTTCTCAGGCACCTACTGTGTGCTGGGCACTGCCCTCAGCAAAGGAAAGAGTATGAGCAAGACAGACATGGGCCCCGTCCCCAGGGGGCTCACACCCGAGGAGACGGATGGCCAGCAGCTAAGCAGAAAGGCCCTGTCAGGTGAGGGGACATGCCAAGAAGCAAAACAAGGCAGGGTGAGGGCACAGAGCGTGATGGGCACTGGGACTGAGCCCCCAGGCTGAGTGTGGCCTCTCCAGCCAGAGGACAAGGAGGGAACGGCAGGAAGAAGGACTCGGCTGGACAACAATAGGGACTGGGCGGAACATGGTGTGTTTCCAGGAGGCAGGCCGCAGGCTCAGGAGGGTGAGGGAAAGGGTGGCTGCTGGATCTCAGCCACAGGCCACTCTACATGCAGCCCCTGAACCCCAAGGGGTGGCCTGAGAGCTCAGTCACTGGCCCAAGACCCCCGATAGATTGAAGTGACCCTACCTGGAGCTGTCACACGAGAGCCCCTCACCCTCTGGGTGGCCTGGGCTTCCCACTGGAAAAGGAGGCAGAGGAAACCGATCCTCCCGCCCTCCTGGGGCAGTCTGGCAGGCACAGACCTCAGAGGGACCAGGGGCTTGAGTTACACCCCAGGGGAGGGGGAGGGGCAGCGGTCACACCGTCATCCTCGGGACTCTCCAGGTCACCGGCAGTAGCTCCGGGCCTAAGGCCAGCTCAGGGGAAAATCCGGGGCAGGAGGAGGCCAGGCCATGGAGAAGGGTGAAGGTCCCACCCCTGGCATTCAGCACCCAATAGGTGACACCCCAGGCTCATCCCCCACTTGCCTTCCCGCCCCAATTTAGTCACACGTCTCCTTTTCAGTGTTTGCACAAGGCCCAGAGCCCACTCAAGCCCTCTGCGTGGCCTCTTCCCTGCTCTTCAGTCTCTGACCCACAGCCCTGCCCAGTCCCAGCACCACCCTGTATCCCTGGGGAGGGCACAGATGGACACCTGCTGGGAGGCCTAAGCCCTCAGGGGAGGGTTGTGCAGCTGCTCATTTTCAGCAGCTCAAATGGAGATACCAAGCTCACAATTTCTGGGAGGAAAATGGGGGTCCCAGAGGCGCAGACTAAAGCCAGAGAGGACCCACTCCAGCACATTCACAGACACCGCCTGGCGCCCTGACGCCTTCTAATTACGTGCCGTCTAATTACCCCAAACCAGCACATTACCCCAAACCAGCACTTACTCCAGACTCGCTGCCCCATCTCTGCTTACAGCAGCTCCCTGGCCCCACACTCAGTCCAGACTGAGACCCCACGGACCTGTTCAGTCAGGCAGCTCAGAACACGGTGCACACATGTGGACGCACCTGCTGCTCTGACGTCCCCTCTGCGGCCCACTCTTCACCGGCCTCCAGCAGCCCAGCCCCGCGCGCTGCTCTCTGACCAAAATGCAAGTTTAGATAGAAGCCCCGGGGCGAGGGGCGGGGGGTGGTCAGTGAAGGTGCAAACCCCAACCTTCGGCTTGGTCCAGGTGGCTGGGCAGTCAGTGACCTTCCAAAGGCTGGCACCTCTGGAGGGCTTCCTGGAGGAGGGCTGTCAGCACAGGCATACCCAGGCCCTAGAGGAGCAGTGCCTCAGCCCATGGCCGGGAGACTCCTCTCCCTGCGCCCTTGAACTATTCTCCAAGGAGAACCTCCGCCCACTGAGGGGGATGACAGGCAGGAGCAGAGAAAGAAGTCAGTCCCGAGGCCACTCCTCCCTGAAGTCTCCCAGTCTGGGGCCATCCACAAGTCCCCACTATCGCCAGCTCCCGGGGGGACCTGATTCAGCCGGCTGGGTCTCAGTTTCCTTGCCTGTAGGATGGGAATGTTTATCTCCCAGGACAAGGCTGTCATGAGATTCAAGAAGAGCCTAAAGCAGGTCTTGTGATTTCCTTCCATCACCCCTTCGCCCTGCACCTCCTGCCCAAGTTTGTAATTAGTAATTGTCTGCATGCTTGTTTACCACTGCGCCACCCCCTCAGTCCCCCCCACCCCGCCCCAGACAGCAGCTAGGGCAGGGCTGTCTCACTCATCACAAACTCCCCCAGCCCAGTGTCTGGAGCAGGAGGTCTCCAAACATGCTGAGGTTGGGGGGGGGCCCTTCCTCATGCTGGCCCACCCCCACCCCCCAACACTGCCCAAATAATTAGAACCAGAAATTCCCTGGAAGGAAGCCAAGTAGCCTAGCCCAGTCCAGGGCCCCAAGTTGGGAGTCAGATGAGCCCCAGGGAGATGCAGCCCTGGAGGCCTCAGAGAAAGAGGAAGCTGGAGCCACTGCCACAGCCTAAGCCTCAGCAGCTTCCTCTTTCCCAGAACTGAAGCTGCAGGGGTCATGGCAGACCATGCCCCCTTCAGCCTCTCCCCCCAGCCCCCCCAATCTCCAGCTTCATCCACAGGATCCCAAAGGTCTCCCACAGTCCCATGCGCCCTCCCTGGCATCCAGTGCGGGCTGGGGGAGGGGGGCAGACACCCTAGGTGCCTTGTCATGGAGGTATGTCCCACCTACCCCACCCCCACACTCCAACCACTCTGAGCTGCCTTCAGTCCCTAGACACGCTTGTCTCTCACCAGACTGGTACCTGCATGTCCAGGAACCCCTCCCAGCACCTGGTCAACACCTACTCTTTCTTCAGAGCTCTTTGCAAGGTCACTTCCTCCTGGAAGTCCCCTTCACCACCTCCCATTCTGCATTAATCCCGCTGCCCTGGCGCTGTGCATGTGGCCCGGCTCTAGTATGTGGGTAGGTAGTACTGAACTGGGTGAGGGGCAGGGATCAGAAAACATGCCTTCAGGAGAGGGTCCAGATCTGCCGGAGAGCAGGCTGATGGTAAGGAGCCCCGAGGTTGGGGCTTAGGCGGGGAGAGGGACCGTGAGCCGGATCTGAACCCCTGGGCTGACTGGGGAGACCCAGCCTGCCTTGCTGTCTGCCACTGGCTTTGTGTCTGTGGCCCCTGCTGTGAGGGTAAGAGTGAGAAATCCTCATGAAACAGCCCAGGACCTGGCACAAAGCCCTCATGCTCTATGCCTCAGTTTCCCCATGTGTAAACCGTGGAGGGGGCATGGTACACATTTAGCAGAAAGGTGTAGGGTATGAGATGCATACTCATTATGCACAATGCTTGGCACAGGGCCTAGTACACAGGCCGTACCCCATCAGCCACAGGGAGAACCTGGGAGGTGGGAGGGCAGGATGGGAGAGGGCTCTGGACTGGCTGGTGGGCAGAACCTGGACGCCCCCGGGGTCACAGAAGCCTTGGAAGGAAGGAGAGGCAGAGAACAAAGTGTGTCTGAGGGCTTTCTGGCTGCGTGCCAATGAGGTAGGACTGGAGGGAGGCAGGTGCCCATCTGGAGTAGGAGGTGAGCAGCAGATACCCCTGTTTCCCAGGCAGTGCCTCTAGGGCCTGTGCACTTCCCTGCAGCCTCCAGAGGCTGGGGTTGCCTGGAAACACAGCTGGACATGGGCCTCCCTCAGTGGTGGCTGCAGGGAGGCAGAAGACAAAGGCCGCCCATCAATAAAGAAATCCAGGTTAGTGAGGAACCCAGTGGTTCCCTGGCAACTGGGGCTGAAGTAGGGCAGTGCCCGCAGTGGGCGGCAGTGGGGGCACCTAAGCATTGCCTCCTTCCCGTCTCCCACCCTCACTGAGGAGGGAACTGATTCTCATTCCCTCGGGCCAGGCCCTCTTCCTGGGTTGCCTCCACTCCTCACAGATGTGAGTACCCCTGTGCCACACCTGGGTACATGAGGGCCACGAGTTCATTTGTCTGGGCCTTGCAGCCAGTAAGCAGTAAAGCAGGTCTGGAGCCCCATTCTGACTGCTTCCCCCTCCCCCTGAAGCTCAGCCCAGACCCTGGGAGTGTTTGCCACCTGATGGTAGAGGCTACGGAGGGTATACTGTGGGCAGCTCAACTGAGACCATGACAAAGACCCCAGGGAAAGGATGCTGCCCTCACCTAGGGGGCTCTCGGGCCTTTGAGGTTTGCCTGCACCCTCACCCGTTTGCACACTGCCCCAGCCTGAGCCAGCTCTGAAGGAAAAGGCCCTGGGACCTGAGAGAAGCAAGAAGCCCAGGGGAGGCTGGGAAATCCCAGGGGGACAAAGGGAGACCCGGAGTGAAGCGAACCTCCCTAGGAAAGGCCACAGGTTGGAGCCAGGGGGATGCAGAGCCTGACTCAGGGCCCAACTTCCATTCCCACCCCACCCTGCATGGGGAGCCATGACTCCATGTCACAACCCCCGGGACTCTTC